TTATTTTTTGGACTATTATTTTTTTAAATTTCTTTGTATGATGGTAATTTTTTTCATCAATTTTATCTTTTAATATTTAATTTTTTTGAAATTAAACTTTATGATTTTTTTAAATTAAGTCCTTCAAATTTAATGACTCAGTTCATTGTATGTTTTTTTTTTAAATTATAATTTTTTATATTTTTAATTAGGTTATTCAAATCATATAATTTACATTGTAAATTTAATAAATATCTTATTTTGACTTTTCCTTATTTAGCATTTTTATATATTTATTATAAACAGTTTCTTATATTTTTTTAACTCCTTTTTGTATCTAAACATTGTTTTTTTTCAAAAAATTGTACAGCCTTGTGACAAAACACGGGTACGGAAGCTAGTGAATAGTTAAGATCGAAGTTCATTTGTTAAAAAAACTATAAAATAAAAATAGAATTTAAAAATTATACATGTACTAAAAGGAAAATGTGTTTTTATGTAGAAATTGTATAATTGTAAATTTTGTTAATTTTTTCTACTACAGCGGTATTGTAACTATGACAAAATTATAATTTTCTTTTTTAGTTTTAGAAAACAAGTTTTTCTTATATTTGTTTTCTTCTTTTTATACTTGTTATTTTTATCATTTTACCTTTTATCACTATTTTTTTCTTATCACTATTTTTTTTTCAAAAATGGATTTTTTTGTAGAAATGATATAATTTTAAATTTTGTCATTTTTATCATTTTACATGTGGCCTATTTAGCACCATTTTTTTCTTATCTTTTTTTTTTGTAATATTATTTTAGTTTTTTTTCTTTACACTTTTTTTTTGAAAAAAATTATTTTTTTATTTGTTACACTTTGAATATTTATTACTCTATTCTTTTTTTTCTTATCTTTATTCTTTTGTAATTTTTTTTCCTTATACTTTTTCTTTGGAAAATTATTATACAAAGAATAAGGAAATGATGTTTTATTATAATAATTGCAACATTATTTCATTCTTCACCATGTTAAAAATTAGTTTGAGATTTTACATGTTTTCATTAATATTTACTATATTTTATTATATGTACATATTAACTTTTTAATTTATGATTATATTTTTTATTTGATATCAAAAAAAAAGTTAATAACACTGACATATTAATTTTTTTGTATTACAAAAAAAAAAATATTCGACCTACAGTGAAATGAGTTGAATAAACATGTTAACAATTTGTTTTCATATTTATTGACACAAATAATTCTCAATGTATTTACTTAAATGCATGTATATACTTTTTTATTAATAATTAAAATTTTAAAAAAATTAACACATGTATATGCTTGTTTATTTTTTTTCTTACAAAGAAAAATTTTCTAACCTATGGTAAAATATCAGTCAAATAACTAGTGGTTTGCTATTTTTTATTATTCATTTTGTTCGATGAACTGCATATTATGTGGATAGTTAATTATATTGTTGTTAAACTTGAGCCACCTAACAAGTCGATCTGAAAAACCCGAGATTCATAACATGATCTGGGATGGTTTTTTGTTAAATTAGACTAGATATTGACATAATAAAACCTAATTAACCTAGTTGAGTTTTTAATGATTTATTTGACTCGGATAAAATTAATTTGAATTTAGATGATTGAATACCAAAGAAAAAAAAATGAACAAAGTAATTTATTTTAATAAAAAAATTAAACTACATTGATCCAATAATCTAATAATTCAAGTATTTCTTTGAGTCCATTTGTTAATCGGGTTTCACTATGGCTTTTGAACTTAGCAAAAAAGAAAATTAAATACAAAAAATATATTTTGATATTGAATTTGATAGATAGATTATCTAAACCAAATTATAAAGTTTTGTTTCCATTTTATCTTTTTTTTAATCTAACATGCATTATTTTTTAGATCAAAAGGAGGGCATTGTTCTAAATTTACATCAAACATAATTTAGATCTTACCACTTCACAAATGTCATTCATGATTAAACTTAAACATGGAGATTGGGTTTTTGATAAGTTCATTGAACATAATCCACATTCAAATTCAAGAAATGAGCATGAGTTGCATTTTTTTTTCTATTTAAATAGGTTTATATAAGGTGGTCAAGTAACATCATCCCGTCAGCTTTTTTTTTCTTTAAATTTATTGATGTATTTGTGAATTATGAAATTTTCTTAGTTTTGGAATCTAAATTTTAAATTGACAACTTTGTTTTTTATATAATTAATTATTGATCTTCCTAATTAAAAAAATATTTTTTTATAAACATATTAATTATTTAGAAACTAGATAGATTGCTTGCACTATATTGTGGGTTGGGCTGAATTTTTTGTAATGTAAAAAAGTGTGTTCAAATATTGTCAATGTATTTCAAAGAAGAGAAAAAAATCTATGACCGGATATTATAGAAAGAAAATTAAAAAAAAATGATTGACAATCCTAAAAAATCCAAATATATAAAGATGAAAAAAAAAATTAATAAAAAAAAATCTAGAAACAAAGAACCAACAAATCCAGGTAAAGTCGCAAAAACTTGCAAGTGGGATCATGTGAATGAGATAATGTAGTAGAAAAATAAATGGTGGGTTGACTCGTGACTTAAAATTTAAGATGAGTTGGGTTTCAAAAGAAATTTGAGGAGAATTGACCCATGTGAAACAATAAAAAACATGGGCTAACCCTTGACTTAGTCAACCCCTAATAAACCTAGTCAAAACTCATTAACATGTCATTTTTTTATATATAAAAGGGATAAAAATCAAGATTTAAAATCAAAACATTGAGGGTATAATCTTAAATGCCATTAAACTTTGAATTGAAAGGTAAAATTAAAGAGAAAAATCAAGTTAACAAAATAATCCAAAATAAAAAATAAAAATAAAAAGAATAATGATTAAATTTTAAAAAAATAAAAAACTAAGATTATGGATCCAAGAATGAGAATGAAAAAAAATTAAAATTTAGTAAAAGGCTCGGAATCAAAATCTGAAACAAAACATTTAAGGCTTAACTTTAAATATCATCAAATTTTGAATTGAAAGGTAAAATTCACAAAAAAATCCAAATAAAAAAAATCAAGAAAATAAAGACCAAACTTAAAGAAATTAAAAATCAAGATTATGGATCAAAGATGAAGTTAAAAACAAATTATAATCTGATAAAAAAAATTAAGAATCAAACTTAGAAACTAAAACATATAAACCAAAATATTAATTATTAAATATGAAATGTTATAAAATAAAAGTTAAAATTGATTTTCATAGCCAACATTAAACTCGACAAGGGAAGAAGAGAGAGAAAAAAACAAAAAAAAATACGCTCCATATAAAAAAAGGTGTCATGGAGTTTCAAACACTATAGTGGAAGCTAGTATTCTTTCACTAAATGATGGCTCACGTGTCACTCAAAAAGCATGAAGTCTTCTCATATGTTCTCGTTTGCATAACAAGTGTTATCAATTTTTTAAAATATATTTTAAAAATAAAAAAAAACTAAATTTTCCTTAACCCAACTACGTAATAATTAAAAAAAACTATAAATAATGACAAAAACACTATTCAACACAAAGCTTAGAAAATTTCATTTTAGAAGCAATTTAGTCCTTTCAATTTTAAAAATATAAAAAACAAAAAATAATCCTTAAAATAATTACATGAAATTTTTTTTTAAAGATAATTTATTAGTTTTAGTGACCGACTATAATAACCCTTTTAAATTTGACACCCACATTTAAACTCTTATAAAAAAAATTCAAATTACCCTTATAGCAAAAGGATAAAATGATAAATTTACCCTGCAAAGAGCACTAAATTGTAAGAGTGAACTGACATATTTTACCTTTTGATATCATAGCGTGAAAGTTTATTCGAAAATAAAACAAAAGGAAGGCAAAAACAAGAAGCAAAATTTTTTAGAGGGGAGAGTGAGAGTGAATTTGTAAATGTAGCTGTGGTTAGTTTTTAGAATATTTTTTGTTTAGATATATATTATAATAATATTTTTTTAATTTTTAAAAATTATTTTTAATATTAGTATTAATATATAAAATGATTTGTAAATATTAAAAAATATTAATTTAAAATAAAATAAAAAAATTTAAATTTTTTCAAAATTTTTTGGTAAGTATTTTTAATCGGTGCAACTGTGAGCTCTTCCTCACCTCCAACAATGTTCTGTCACGCTCGATCTCATCTCCGCCGCCCCAACATCACACTAACCACCACACTCCTCCGTACTCTAACCACCGTCGGCGCCTCTGCCTATCCTGAGATCCCACTCCTCCAAGAATCTACCTCCTACACAGTAACACCCCCAATAAAACCCTGGCCTCAACGTCTCTACCCAAAACGCCTAATCTCCATGATTACCCACCAAGAAAATCTCGACCTCGCCTTCCAAATCTTCGACTACGCTGGAAAATATCACCCTGGTTTCTTCCATACTTACGCCACTTACCACTCCATCATCGACAAGCTCTCTCGTGCTCGCTCCTTTGATGGGGTAGAATCTCTACTCTCTCAACTGTCACGTAACTCCTCTCACATCAAATGCGGCGACGATGTTTTTATCTCTGTAATTCGCAATTATGGCCTTGCAGGTAGGCCTAGATTAGCCCTCAAAACATTTACGCGAATCAAAGAAGAATTCAGTATGCAGCCTTCTGTGAAATTATTGAATACTTTATTGAATGTTTTCGTGCAGAATAAAAGGTATGATTTAGTGGGTTCTACGTTGAAAAAATGTAAAGATAAATATGGGGTTTTGCCTAATGTGTTTAGTTTTAATATTTTGATTAAGGCTCTCTGTAAAAAGAATGACGTCGAAAATGCTCTCATGGTGTTTGATGAAATGCCCACTATGGGAATGATTCCAAATCTGGTGACTTATACGACAATTTTAGGTGGGTTTGTTTCACGGGGCGATTTGGTTAATGCTGAGAAGGTTTTTAGTGAGATTTTGGATAAAGGGTGGTTGCCGGATGCGACTACTTATACAGTTTTGATGGTTGGGTATTGTAAACAAGGGAGGTTGAGTGATGCTATTAAGGCAATGGATAATATGGAGTATAACGGGGTGGAGCCGAATGAGGTTACTTATGGGGTTATGATTGATGCTTATTGTAAAGAGAAAAAATCTGGTGAAGCTCGTAACTTGATTGATGATATGCTTGATAAGAAGTTTTTGCCAAGTTCGACCCTTTGTTGTAAGGTTATTGATGTGTTATGTGAGGACGGGAAGGTGGAGAATGCTTGTCATTTGTGGAAGAGGATGTTAGAGAAGAATTGTTTGCCAGATAATGCAATAATGAGCACCCTTATACATTGGCTTTGTAAGGAGGGGAAAGTGTGGGAAGCCAGGAAATTGTTTGATGAGTTTGAGCAAGGTACAATTCCAAGTCTTATGACATATAATACTCTCATTGCAGGGATGTGTGAGAGAGGGGAGTTGAATGAGGCAGGCAGGTTGTGGGATGATATGGTGGAGAAGCGTTGCAGGCCCAGTGCTTTTACATATAATATGTTGATTAAGGGTTTCATGAAGGCTGGGAATGTGAAGGAGGGAGTTAGGATTCTTGAAGAGATGTTGGATGATGGGTGCTTGCCTAACAAGTCAACATACAATTTATTGATTGAGGGGTTACAGGAATTGGGAATGGAAGGAGATGTGGATAAGGTTGTGTCTATGGCCATGGCAAGCAGAGAAGTAGATGCTGATTCTTGGGATCTCTTCTTGCGCAAGATTGTTGGTAATCTGGATTGTGGGACTTGTGCTCTTGATAGATTGTTAATGGAAAGTGCTACATAGAGATCCATTCATTGGGCTTCATACAGTAATGGACGAAGTGGTATTTGATTATTTAAGGGCACTGACTGCAGAAGCTCCCAGTAATTTATGGAGTTGCTAAAGAGGTTAAAGTTTACTTAGCCGGTGCTCTCTCTGTCTTGGTTTGGATGTCACTGTTAAGAGAGACTGAAATGCTCTGTGAAGCAGCAAGAGGAGCATATTGCAGGATTTTATGTTCAAACCGGCCTCAATTGCTGAACAACAGAGCAGATGACTGAGGAATTTCTAGCACTGTTAGTTTTAATAGACTGTTGGTAGTTTTCAAGATCATGCTTGCATTGGTGAATGAGCTGTCATGCCCAGAACACATGAGCTGCAGTTAGTTAATAAGTTATGCAAAATTTATTGCTTATGTAATCAGAAAATTCTATCCAAGGTTAGGACATTGGTATTCTTAAAGCTTTGAAAGAAGAGGTGCGCAATGCGAGGACCTGGTCTCTCTCTCTCTCTCTCTCTCTCTCTCTCACGCTGAACCACAGAGGAAGTATCTGCTACGTCTGAGTGCGAGCTCAGAGATACAGAATAAGGTAATTATTTTCTCTTTCTCTGTCTCTCTCCATCACTGATGGATGTTCTCATGTTTTGCTATGGGGTGAAAAATGTAATGTATTCTTCTCCTTGTATTTAAATCTTATTTTTTGTTTGCCAGGGTGCCAGTAAGTTTTAGTTTTACCCCCCCCCTCTTTCTCTCTGTTTTTTTTTTAATAATAATTCATGCTTTTGCAACAGTGATTTTGATTTGAATAATTTGGTTAATACCACCATAATCTAAGCGTCCTTTTGCTATGGATGAAGCTTTTCAATGTTATGTTTATTGGTAAAAGAGAGAAGTTGAATTCTTTCAACTATTAATACCTAATTTGGCGCATTAGAAGGCCTAGCCTCAGAATTTTAATTGTTACTTCAAATATTGGTCGCTTTTTAGCTTTTCCTTTTCTCTTAGCAACTAATGCTTATAAATTTGATTTTAACTGACTGACTTCTTTCAATTTAAGCCCATTATTTGTAGCCTTTTTTATGTTAAAATGATGAAACTTTCAACCATGTTTGTCTATTGTTTTCTCCGTTCATCTGCTATTACTGGCAAACTATGTGGCCTACTTGCTGGAACTGTAAAATTCTATGAAACCTTGAATCTGGACTGTTGCGTGGAACAGGGACTTGGCTTGAGTGTCAAATTGTGGGGAGTGCCTTGTTAGAAATCATGGAATAAAGACATGCATAACAGCCTGCTTCTGAGAGGAACATCTCTTTATTATTTTTATTTTTTGCGTAGTATGTCAATGGAGGAAAAATATAAGGATCAAATCTAGCTAAACATATGGTAGCAATATTGAGAGAACATAACTGATTTTTCTCATAACAGAACAATGGATCTCTGTTAGAAGATCTTTTCAGCTATTGGCTTTAATCTTAAGATGGTCAGCCATTATAAAACTGTTGGCAATGAATTCTTCTTCTTCTTCTATTTATTTTCCTTCTTGCGTGTGTGATAAGGATGGAAGATTACCATCGGTGTTGTGGCTGAATATATTCAGTTTTCTTCCACTTTATTCGTTGTAAATTAACTTATGTTCTAAATGACTGAGCTTGGCCATATATTGGCGGTTCATTTGTTAATATTGAAGATGGTGAATGCATGGAATATTTTATCAAGAAGACTAGAGCTTGATGTCTCTGTAATCTTCCCGCGAAGCAATTACTGATCAGCTTAGGCCATCTGTCAGTTCTTGATCTCCTCTCTTTCCAGGCAGTTTGCAAGTGTGGCATTCTTAATTCTTGAAATTTCCCATGCTAACATTGCAGAACCAAGCACATAAAAGGCTCCCATGGTTTCTGACCTTGAGGACCCAGCAACCGAAAAGAACAGGTGCCAATCCTTCAGCCACTAGACCGTTGCTGTTTACAGCATCCAAGTTAGGAGACTTGTCTACGAGGAATGTTCATGCTACTGACATTCAAGAACTACATGGAACATGAATCCTTACGTCCATGTATGGGTGGCTTCCCAATTCTTTTTCTACAGCAAAAGTTGACCTTCTCATCATGAATGTATCTGAATTATCCTTACGTCCTGTATTTGACATTTCAACACCGCCTGGTCATTGGTTTGCATGTTGTTTCTTAAATGCTGCAACGTTTCTAATGAGAAGTTTCGGGTTTGTTTATGTAGCCGTAGAAAACCTGCATTGACCACGGGAGTGTATGGGGAAAAAATCGATTGGAAATGTTATGTTCCAGATGCTGTTGTTAATACTTTATTCGTTAATGGATAATGGTCTTGTTTTCATCAGATGGATGATTCAAGCACTTCTGATGTTGTGAATAGAAGTTGGAAGCTCTTGGATCCACCAAAGGCTAGAAGAAATGACGTGTATGGAAATGCCAAAACAGTGTTGTAAGTGATCAAGAATGGTGGCCAAGTGTTTATGCTGGTTCATAATGCTTCTTGGTATGTAATTGCGTTAAGGGATCCTCAAAAAATTTGAGTTTTTATAGCAATGAACATGACTTCCTGAACAAACAAGAATTCGTGTTTCGCGTCAATGTAATCAGCTATCAAGCAGCTACAGAATGGCTTAGCGGCTAAGACAAATTCAACTTGGATGCATGATGTAGCGTGTGTGATACTGTGATTCAGATGGCTATGTACTTATCTTTTAGTTTTTATATTTCTAGAAAAAAACATAAAATGAAATAAATTGAATTTTTTTTTGAAAAAGGATTGAATATATGGTTTCTGATAAAAAGGGAGCTAATAGATGGTTCTTGTTAAACTCTAGGAACGTGTTTGTAATTAACTCTTTTCCGAGTTAGAGACATGAATAGTGCTTTGAATTTGCAACGATAGGCGATAGGCAATAGCATCCTTTCTCTTCCCTTCCAAAAAGAAAAAAAAAAAAATGTTGATGACCAGTTACTTTCCGTGTAAGTAGAAGCAGAATACCCCCAACTGTAATTGGGGCAAGTTGACTTGGTTATTTTCCTTAGCTAAAGCGCCGTTATAATATTGTTCTCGGTGAGGCCACTTTTAGTACTGTTTTGTTTTTTTCTTTTAATGCAAATTGTTTGTTAAACGAGGACGCTGAGATGTTGTTTTTGGTGAATTACATGATGGAATGGGTTATTGTGGGGTATGATGAATGTGGGTTATTGAACGGTGCTCATCTCGAGGTATACAAAGATGAGGATGGTTGAGGAAAAGGCTCTGGCATTGTTTAAATGGACGAGGAAGAGTGGAAAGGTGATGCCCAATGAGTATAATTTAGATTGTGTTTTAAGGTTTGTGGAAAGCTTGGTGCTTTAAGTGAAGGGATGGCAGTTCATGGGATTTTGACAAAATTTGGTTTGGAATGTGATCAATGAGCTGGTGCTGCTTTGATTGAGTTGTATTGTGATTGCGAGATATTGGCAATGCCAAGAGATTTTATAATGAAAGGATTAGCCCATGTTCAGGTGCTTCGAATTTGCTTTTGCGGGGGATTGAAGATGCGGATATGATATTTAACAAATTGAACGAGAAAAATTCAGCTGTGTAATTTGATGGTTGAAGGATAAGAATGAGTAGCTGAGTTGAGGATCGAAGAGATTGTTTGAGACAATGCCTCACAAAGCTATATTTCCTTTTAATATTATGATTTCTGTGTATTCAAATAGTGGTGAAATGACAAGGTTTTGATGCTTTTGAAGAATCCAAGGCGAAAGAAAACTCGATGATGTAAGGTTACATTTAAATGACTGGCTCGAAGAAGCCTTGAAACTATATGTGACCATGAGCTTATTGTTAATAGACTTCACAAGATCAACATTTTCTGTTCTATTTTCAAGATGCCATGGATCATTTCAACTAGGGCAGATGCTTCATGCCATCTTGAGCATAACGCCATTAGTATCAAATGTTGACGGTGGAACTTTTCTTGTTGATATGTATTCCTTATGCGGGAGCATATTTGATGCTCAGAAATCTCACTCTTGGCCTGTTGTGGCTGTTTGGACAGCTCTCATTAATGGATATGCACATCCGGACTTGGCTCTGAAGCCATTATGCTGTTTAAGCGCATGTTAGAGCTACAGGTGGTCCCTAATGGAGCTACTTATGCTGGGAATTTTTTCTTCCTTTGGTCGTGCTATCCTAGTCAAGGAAGGGATGGGATTCTGCTACACAATGGATGAATATTATGGAGCAACTCCATCTTTAGAACATTAAGCATGCGTGGTGGATCTTCTGGATCGAGCAGGGCAACTACTAGAAGCAATTCCAATCCAAGTAGATAGTCATTTGGGCAGCTTTTCTCAATGCTCGTTGGTTTTGGAAAGTAATGGAAGCGGGTGATAGAGTGGCCAAGCTTTTGTTCAGTTCGGATACCAAGCCAAACTCAGCTAATGTCATTTTGCCTAAAATATATATATATATATATATATATACAGCATGAGGAAAGTGGGGAGAGAAGCTGCATGTGAGAAATGGATTGAGAGACTTGGAAGTGAAAAAAGGATCCTGGGTGTCATTGTATTATTCTGAACTCTTAATGAGTTCTCAGCGGAAGATAGAACACATCCGCATTGCACTATAATTTATAACACTTCGGAACAACTTACAGCAAATCTAATATTCTTTTCTCATTTAACTGTTTTTCCATTTCAATGACAGATGATTATTGTTTTAGAGAATCAGATCAATGGTTAGGCTTATTTTACTGGTTGTTTATTTTATGTTTCTCTCTACTAATTAACGAGTATAAATGATGCGAATGATAAAAAAAGAAATATCTGCTCAACAGATCACTTCCCTAGTTTATTCTAGTGGTATGATCTAAATTTAAGCTTTATATTGCTCTTGAAAATTATTCCAGTGTTCATATTCATGTGAAAAGAGCAAGTTATTTCTGTCATGTAATCTGCTATAATGTGTCTTTATTAAAGCTGTTGTACTATAATTTGGATGCACTTCAGATGCTGCGTTTTTCGTTTCCTTGACCACGTTTATGTTTTCGAGGTTGATCTGTTGCAGTAATTGTTCCACTTGAGTGGTCACTTTTCAGAATCTTTTTTCGGTTCTTTTTATTTTTTCACCTATGATCATGCTGGAACTCATTCCCTGTAATTGCCACCAATGGTCGGCTTCTCAACGCGAATGTTATTGTTCCAAATCTCAGCATTGAATTTCTGTCTTCTTTTTCATGGCTGTGATTCATCAGGATATTGGACAATGAAAGCTGGCTGGCACTTCTCAAGCCGGTGGATTCTCAGAATATATCCTGTGTCAGAACAACGCTTCATGCACATTAGAGTAGGTCTGGTTATTCTGCTCACAATAGTAGTGATAACAGTAATAACAGTGTTATTGATTAACTGTCACCTTTGCATTTTCGGAAATTGATAGTTGAACTACCTTAAAAGAAGTTCTTTAAAACTGGTTGGTTTGGCAAATGCATGACTCGAAATATAATTTTAACTAGATTTTAATTTAAATAGATTCTGATATTGATCTAGTCAAATTAAAATAATTTATTGAATTGATTTATAATTTATTTGAATTGATCAAACCTTATTTAAATAAAAAAACCTCAAAAGATATCATTTTATATCAAAATGAGAGTGCCAATAACCCAATAGGTTGGCTTGTGATCCAATGACCCTTACCCTTTTTGTGTCGGACCTCGGAATGGGTCTAACAAGTGTGGTTCTCTCGTTTATAGATGTTTTAAAGCTGATGCCTATCTTTTCTTCAGCGCACATTTTATTTATAGCCTTTTAAATATGTGTCCAAGTTGACCTAGTTTTGCCACTTTTTACCTTTTGCTAGTGAGGACAAGAACACAAATCATTCCTTTTAGTTTCCCCAAAGATACAAGTAGTTATTTATGTCTTTTAGATGGCCTTTTTAGCAATCATTGGAAGGGCCTTGTTCTGGTATATGCTGAATAGAAAAGGTGGGCGCACAAGTGATTAACATGTGGGTTTCCAACTCAGGTGAAGGCTGACGTGGGAAGAAAGGAAAATACAAAAGGTTTTGGTTAACTATCTAATTAATGTGCCTGATATTTTGTTAAAGTTGCATTCTAAATTATTTCACTAGCGTTTCCTTTCTCCTCAAGGTGTGCGTTGATGTTTAGGAATTCTTGCAGATGCAGGGAGCTGATAAAATATTTCAGTTGGGATTTTCCACAGCATCTAAAATTATGAATGAATCTAGTCTGCTGCAAGTGCAGGCGCGATTTTCCTTGATGATCTCATTTGACGATGTTCCTCCTGTATTCGCACTCATTTGGAGAAAATAACTGTTGATTATAGTGGTACATCAGATACATTTAGGCTTGACATGAGAAGCTACCATTCTTCATTTTAAGTTTTTAATTTCATGCTAATATTTTATTGATTTGACAACATCAGTTAATTTTATATAATCGTAAACATCCGTCACTACAAGAGCTCCTCTTTGAAACTTCCGCTGCTTATTGCCTCTCTGAAGTTCAGGAAAATTGATCACAGTGAAATATAGATTACCCTGTCACAAACAAGAAAATATGTTAAAATTGATCATACTTTGTTAGGAATGTAGATTAATTTTAGAGATTTAACAGAGGATATGTACACTAAACAAAAGTCTCTCTCTTACGTGATTTTGTTAACTCTTGTCATTAGTACTGTCATTAATCACTAGCTGCAACTGTTTGGATTTCTCTTCATTCTTTTCTAGATCCCATTTTTCTGGTTCTTCCATGATCACTCTTTTTCTGTACTTGCAGTACAGTATTAGTTGAAGAAATCCCAAGGGGCTACCAACAAGATTTGGGGACTGCCAAAATTCAAGAATTTAGGTTAAAAGAAAACATGAACCGCAAAAGTTCTTGTTATAACCAATTAAAGATTGAATAATTGTACAAACCGCGAGAAAAAGATCATGGCTCAGTAGTCCATAGGCCATCCAAAAAGAACTTGCAAGGAAGGAGAAAAACGATAGGTAGAATGGCATGTATTCTACGCTCTGTGTCATTATCACCTTTTTCTGCAATTATTTATTTAGATAATTTACTAGAAGGAAAGCTTGAGCAAATAGTTGCTTCACCGAAAGGCCTGAGGGAGACAGAGAATTTAGATATTGAATGTGTTTTTGTTATGCTAGAGATGCTAGGATGCTAAAAGTATTTCACATAGTTATTTATGTTTTAATGGTTCTTTAGCTTTCTACTTTGGCTGTATATGGTGAGGTAAAAAGAGATGAAGATAGCTCACCACAACCACTAGTGGAGAACCATACATTGCCACAGAGGCCACAAGAGCAACACTCCCAACAAATATCTTGCGATGGTGGTGATCATGTAAAGCAAAAGCTGAGATAGCTGCCGTGATGCAGAAAACTAGGATAACAGGTATCACTGTGATTGCAACCTTTATCTGCACACCAATGACTATTAATTGTAAATACACATAGCGATTCATATGCATACATCCATGCATTCATATAGCCAAGGAGTTGTGTTACTTTGTGTTCTGGCTGAAAGGCAGCGAGGAATAAAAACGTATTTTGAAATACACAAAAGTATGTGTAAACTTGAGTTGTTAGTCTACGGTGTGCATGCTAGCATGATAATTCAAGCATGCAAGGAAAAACATTTCTGCAATAGTTCGACAGATAAAGTTAAAATAACTTGCCTTTCCTCTG